GTGTAAGATATTCTTTCAATATCTTATCTAATTTAGGGAAGTATTCATTCAGTATTGTTGGTATGCCTTTTGTTGGAGTGTAAGGTTTGGTAGAATCAATAAAGAGTAATTCAGCTCGTAACAATTATGTAAATATCATATTTTCTGGCTGTATCTACCGGCTAGCTAAGCTTGGTTATGAAACTAAGCTAGCTCAAATTATTAAATATGGAAACACAATATCAGGAAGCCATAACTTAAGATATAGCTTCCAAGTTTGAGTTTAAACCGACTTGAACTGCAATTTGATCTAAAAGATGATGATAAAATAATTTCACCACCATTATTGATGAAATTGGTGAATGGTGATTCAGAATTACTGGAATGAGTTAATTCTGAATCATCTACTAGGGAATGTTATGTATATTTAACTATTTAAAAACCGATTAATGATCGAACGAATTGATAACATCCCTAAATTTCATCAGTATTTCTAGTTTGATCTACGGTTTGTATAGCCATTGTTCTGCTGAGTTGAACTATAACTTGAATCCGAGTAGGCTCTTCATCCGGATATAGTCTGTTTATTATTATTATAATCATTATTATTATCATCTATATAATTTTACCCATTAATTTCAGAAGAGCTTGTACGGATACTAAAATATCACAAAAATAATTAATTAAATAAAAAATTAATAGAATCTCTAAATGTATACTATATTTTAAAAAAGGTTATAAGTTAATCTATATTTTATTAAAAAAATTTTATATATTTTTAGAGTTTGCAGTTATTCGATTAAGCTCCCACATTATTATACTTCCAGCTGATGGAACATCAATAAACGGTGCATTTATACCAACTCTCATTTCATTTTCAATTGATATTGAGTTTTCATTATCTCTTCTTCCAGATTTAAGTTCTCTGCTTAATAAAAGTGCAATTCTTGATGGTAATTTTAATTCTGATAAGTCAGATGTATTACTATTCCAAAAAAGTAGAGATGTTTTTATTATATCATCATGCTGTTCTAGTTCTTCAGTGCATGTAAGGATTCTATTATCAGATTTACAAAACACTTGAGAAATTGCTCGAAGATCCCGTTTGGGTGGTTCTGCAATAAGCAATTTCAACTCATTATCAAACAAAAATTTGCACAACTCTTCAGAAGATCCATATATATATGGCCAAGTCAAAGAATGAGACTTTGAAACTTTTTGAGCAAAACTATTATAAACATCACCACTTTTGTTGGTCAAATATAACCCACTCCATCCCAAAGCTTTTGCAGAGCGAACCAACATTCCCAAATCATGTGGATCATTCACTTTTTCAAGCACTAAAAATTTGGTCATTTGTTCTTTTGGTGGAAATACTATTGGAGGAAAGTTAACTTCGGCCACAAGCTCATGACGTTCTGGTTTTGCACCACTTCCTAAAATCTTTCGAACCATATCAATGTTCATAAGATAATAATTATCAGCAACAATTCGATTAGGATTCTCAAGATAATCCAAAGCTGGTGGCTGGATTTCATATTTGGTTTTAGGTTTGTTAGGAGCTGTCACTACTAAACTTTTGATCGGATGATTTTTCTTTATTAAGTCGAGAATATTTTTTTCTCCTTGTACCAAAGTTAGACGATGTTCCCATCTATATTGCTTATTTTCCCGAAGACTTTGAAAATGTTGAATTTTTTTGTCTTGAATACCATGCAAACGTGTAAATACCTTTGGCCAATTATATTTGAACATATTTTTCTTTGATAAAGGATTAGAGCGACTCCTTTCTGTCTTGCGTACAGGATATCTTCCCCATGTTTGTATTCGACGATCACCGAGTACAAGTTTTTCACGCGAAAAGGGGGCCTCGTCAATTTCATCGTCGATAAAGCGTTGTATTTTTTGTTGTCGAACAAGATCTCGGTCTTGATTAGTGTTGTTAGACGAAACCTTTTTTACGTAATGACGAAAGACGAAACCTAGACCCCCAAAAGACGAAATCTCTGACGAAAGACGAAACCTCATCTTCTGACGAAAGACGATACCTTGTTGCTCTCGCTAAAAAAAAAAAAAAAAAGCCGGATTACCAATCTTAATTTGATAAACCTTGTAATCAATGAAACCTCTTTATTCTTAATACTCCCGCTAAAATTGATTACCAAAATCTATGTTTTCAACAAAAGCTATTACAACTGTTTTCATAAATTCTGGAAAGTCTGGCAAAAATTGACCGATCGAATATTTGCCGAATCGATAAGTTTGTGATTTCGGCAATGATCGATATATATGTCGTAATTTGGAATTTCCTAGTTAAAAAAAATTGATAGACTAAGACTAAACTGGATAGTTTTTTTTTTGAGGAAAATTTTTATTTCATAAATTCTGGGACATCCGAAAAATTGTCGTTGACTGAATCGATAAGAATTTAAGAAAAAAAAAACCAGCTGTAATCTGACTACGTAGCAAGCAGAAGGTTTATCAAATAACGACCAGGCTTAGTTGTTTTTTTTTTGCTGTTTTCATAAATTCTGGTGCGTACATCAAAATTTTCCGATAACCGAATCGATAATTATCGAGTCAAAATACAAGTTATCGAGATATTTCGCTTCGGGTAAAATAGGATGGGTATACCCACCTATTTTACCCGAAGCAAACAACTTTTTAAATATCTTGGGATCGTGTGATTGGATTTTGGCGATTTTGGGCTCCAATCTTGATAAGATTTTATTGGCCAAAAATGATATAATTATTTGCTATTAGATGTAAACAAACATTATATGATTTATGTTATACTTAATCAAGAAATTTGATTTGATGATATGAATATTGTAGTTATGTTTACAAGAACTGGTTCTTGGACTAGTCTTTTAATAGTCCCATGGTCTTTATCAGTTTTAGTCTGGTCCTGGTTCTAGATCAGTCTTTTTCAAAACCAATGCCTATATAGACCTGGCAATTCACTGTTTTTATAAATTTTGTAACAATTAAAAAAATTACCAATAACCAAATTAATATATACAGTATATTACTTTGGCCAAACTCTAAAACTTAATCGATTCAGCAATTTTTTTATTATTTTGAAATTTATAAAAATAGTTATAAACCTATATACTAAAAATTTGTATATACAGTATAATGATAATGCTAGTATAATATAACTATTATTTCTTACTCTTTTCTAATTTAGGTATAAATATTTTTTAGAACTAACATATTATATTCTAGATTAATTCTAGAATACTTTTTTTACTTTTTTTTGTTTTTCTTTTATACTTTTTTGCTAGAAATTTTTAACCCCTTTATGAGATTAACTTACAGTATTACTTATATCTATACTGTATATACATGAAAAGTAAAAAAAAACAAAGTTTGTAATTATCAAAGAATCAAATAACTTTTTTTTATAAAAGTAAATAATATCTAAGAAAAATAAGATTTCTTCTTATATTTCTTGGTTAAGTGAACTTCTACAATTTTACAATACTATATTTTTTTTTTACAATAACTTGCTAAATATTTTGCTATTACTATATACTCTATTACTATGTTTTTATATATTATACTATATTTATACATTTTGTGTTTTTTTTTTGTTTTTTTTTTATTTTAGATAAAATCTTAATTTCAATGCTTTATTAAATTTTTAACATATATATATTACTCTATACAATATTACTATGTAAACAATATAATTTAATTAATTATATTTGAAACTTAAAGCTATATACTTAACTATTTATATCTAAGATTTACCTTATACAGATTTTTATCTATACAAATATATATATCTAAGTATATATAATTTTTCTAATTTACTCTTGATTTAATCTACTAGATATAATTACAAGATCAGCTCAAATTTTAGGGTCTTGTATATCTACTTACAATTATCTTTTTGCAGTTGCTAAGATCTTACTTGTAGTTGTGATCATGCTGTTAAGTTCATCAATTAATATTTTAGATTTCTGATCTTGTAGTATAAGATTTAATTAAATCTATAGTTTTCTAATTTTATATAATCTTATTTAACTATTTTTCTTTTATAAGATTCACTTGAATTTTAGTACTAGCTTTTCATTTTCTTTTTAAATTATACTTTTAAATTCTTCAACTACTAAACCAGTTAGTCTGAGAAAGTTGGTCTGCTTGGCTTTAAGTACCTTATAGCTTCTTTTTTTTATATAGTATATACTTCTAGCACACAAGTTTTTTTTTTTTTAGTGTAACTCTAGTAATCAAATTGATAGAACCCCAAACCTATAAAGTCTTGTTATCCAAATTTTCTAATTTTTAGGTTAGTCTGTTTTCTATTCTACAGTATTGTCAAAAGTCTTTACTATCTTCTTATTTGGGTCTTGCCAAGCTAGTTTTAAATCTTCTAGTTCTTTTTGTTAGTTTTATATATTCTAAAAGTCTTATTATAGATTTGTACTACCTATACTAGTTTGTATTTCTTTGTATAACCTAATATCTACAGATATTTCTAGAATCTTTTAGTATACAAATACATTGGTATGACTGGAGTTACAAATATTTCACTTAACTAATTGATAAGATCTATTTAAACTCTGTACCTTAGCTAAAAATTACTTGGAGATACAACAACCTAACTACTTTACTAAGTTGCCATACTCTTTATATATTCTGTGTTTTTAAATTTTAATATTTATTAGTACTAATGTTTTGTAGTGCCAAGAAATAATTATATTGTATCATGTTAATCACAGAACTCTCCCCGCCAATCACTGTGACCAAAATTCTAAAGAAAGAAAATTAAAAAAGTCGGCCAAACGACTATAGGAACAAAGAGACTGTATCTAACTAAAGTTGTAAAACAAAAGGAATACAACAAGTTGTATTA